ATTTTTATTTATTTCCACATTCATGCATATACACATACATAAAACATTTTTATGGTGATTAAAATAGTACTCATGTAGCCTTAGCGTTTGGCTCAGCAGTTAGAGTGTTGGCCCTTGGACTTAAGGGGTCAGGGGTTCAATTTCTGGTTCTAATTCCTATTAACTATTATACAGAATTCCATTAATATTGCATATATAGTCCACAGTCCATTTATTAATTTCTCTACTGATAAACAATTAAGTCATTTACAATTTTTTTGCTATTACAAACAAAGTTGCATTAAACATGCAAACATCTCAAAAATATAGCATTAAGGGGAAAAAACAAAATTGTCGAATGATTAATAGAGGATGATGCCAATAATATAAAATCTAAAACAAAACAACACTGCCTCGGCCTGTGTGCCTCGGCTGGTTGGGCGGCGACCTGTGCGCCGAGAGGTGCTGGTCCGCTGCCGGCCAGGGCGCGTGCCTGGGTTGCGAGCCTCGCTCCAGGTAAGGGGTGCGGGAGGCAGCCGAGAGACACGGTAGGTGTTTCTCTCTCCCTTCCTCTCTCTCTGAAAATCCATTTAAAAATATTTTAAAAAATACTATATGTTGTCTATGGATGTACACATATGTAGTGGAAAATATAAAAGCATTTTTGGGAGTGATGCACACCAGCATCAGGCTAGTGGTTGGCTCTGGGGGAATGAGGAAGGGAGGGGAGAGGAATTGGGAGGTGAGGACTTGACCTGTATCTGAAATATTTTATTTCTTCAATAATAATAACAAAAAGGTTTTAATCAGATAACGCAAAATGGTAACATCTGTTTAAGATGTTGCGTATTTGAATATGCCAAATTATTTTCTATATTTCATAACTTAAAAAGTTAAAAAAAATGCTTATTCATTGTAGAAATTTAGGATGAAATAAAACTCACATGTAATCTCACCATAGTTGGGTCTAAATCTAACTGAGGGAAACAGATTGCAAGGCCTTTATCACAGGCCGTTCTCCATTAAGCACCACTGTGTTTCAGGGCTGTCACGTTGAGTTAGTTGTTTCATCCTAGCGTCCAGCCTCACTGTGGCTGCTGTGTTGGTTGAAACTACAGGAAGAATTCAGCATGATCCTCTGAAGTAAAACATAAAAAACCGAAGCATGCCCCTAAAAGCCCGAGTACATGCTACAGCCAAGTACGGCCTAAAATGCGAATTAGCGTCAGGCAGGAAGCAGCAGTGGAATTGAGCCAAAATCATGAGAACTATAACTTGTTTCTCTGCGAGTAATACCAGCTGTCATCACATTTCTAGATCATTCAATCACGTAATGTGTAGCTCCATCTATGCAGACGACTAAAAATAAGTCACATGCAGTTCTTATTTGAGTGACTTCGATTACTTCTGTTCATCACAATCAGAATTTTAAAGCACTGTTTTTACATGCTGATGTTGACATCTTGCTAACTAGGGAAGCTAACAGGGCAATTGATGAACGAGACAGAAAATACTGAGAAGTGGCATTGTTATGCAGTTACAGAGATCCGCACACATGGAGAAGAAACAACAGGAAAAGCCTGAAGCCTGTGCCATCTGGCCAGTTGACTATCTGAAGGGCACTAGTGCCCTGCGGAGTCCTGACCTGTTGTGCTGCCCTAGTAATTCTGAACAGATATAATTATGCATCTGTCTGAAAGGCTTTGCTTCAGTCGCTGTCATTTGAGTCAGTATATTGTTTCCCCTTTCAATTCTCCTACTTGAACTTTGTTTTTCATTTTTTTATTATGAAAATTTTCAAACATACAGAAAAATTGAAAGAATAGTACCCTGCCACCTAGATTCTACAACATTGACCTGTCTTTGAGATACTCTTATTCAGATATAATCTAGAACAACAAGACATCTATATATTTTTCAGCAGTTAATAATCACCCATTTCTCAAAACACACTAGACAGAATATGTATTTGTTAAAGGAGAAAACACTAATACCTGCAGCCGCACGTATTTCTGGCAGTATATAAAAGATATTTTGAATACATAGAAGATATTCAGCCTTTCTTGACTCTATCTCATTAAGTATTCATTGTGAGCCTACTGTGTGCCAGATCCTAGAGAGGATGTTAAACATCAGATGAATAAAATAGTCCCAGCCTCCAAGAGCTCACAGTATACAGAGAGAGCTAGGTTTGTTTAGAGACAAAACTGAGAAAAGAAACTACTTGTTTTATCTTTATATCCCCAATAGCTGACACAATTCAGTAATAATTTAATAACTCGATGAATCACTGGGGTATTTAGGAAGTAAAAGGAACAGGAGTGGGCGAGCTGCGGGCTGTGTGGGTCTGAGAACTGGAGGCGGCAAGGATGGCTGCAAGGTCCCTGGTGGTGGTGGCCGGGTGGGTGGTGAGCGCGGCACCTGAGACAGGGAACGGAGGACAGCAGATGGGGAGAGGAGAGAGCTCGCTTCTGACTCAGGCTGGAGTTGTCTGTCATGCTGCTGATGTGCTGCTTGCTCTTCGAACTCTCTGCAGATTCTACTCAAGCTTTTGACTTACGGGGGCAGGAATACAACCAGAAGTGTTCCAAAGTTGAAAAATAAGTTGCCTATCTCTGTTGCCAAAATTTATAATGTTTGGAAAATACTTCACTCAGAGCATGCCTCCCTAGATATGTACTATTTGGAATTTCTCTGTTTGGGATTTATTTTAAGTTGATTCATGTAGCATCAAAGGGACAAAGACATGGTAACTAATAACTTCTGTCAGTAATATTAGTCAGAGAATTAAAAAGGACATATGATAGAGGTAATGAGTCTTGGGGTGGGGTGGGGTGGGGTGGGGTGGGTAAAAAAAAGGACCAGAAAGAAGATAGGCATCGTAAAAAGAATTTTTCAGCTCTTTTGTTTCTTTGGCAAATTTGGTTTTTGGCTGTGATCCAAGTTATCTGTTTTGGCTGGGAATTATTTTTGTACACATCTTATTTGACAGCCTCAACTTATTCTTATAATAATGCAAGTTTTCATATGGGGATTGTGCAGTTAGTACATTATTAATAAAATAAGCAGTTAAGTAAATTTGATTCTTCTGCTATTTAAAGTTCATTTGTCTCTTCATTGGGTTCTGTGATAAACAATTTTAAATTCCTGTCTTCACTGTATAGATATAACCATGTATATACCTCTTTTGCTTTTTTCTTTTCTCATTCTTTTTTGCGGTAGCTGGAAGGTTTTATAAAACATATTATTATAACAATTCTAAGTTGGTCAAATTACAAGTAATGTGAAAGACTTAACTATGCATTGTGCTACATTCAAACCAGAATTATAAAATATGTTTGTGTGCATTATTTTGACAACCACAATATGTTTTAAAGAAAAATAATATTATTTAAAGTATTTTCTTTACCACGGTAGTCTTCAGCAGGCAGAGAAGGGCTTTTCTGAAGTGAGATGAGACAATAGAGCCAACTTCATCTTTTATGCACGTCAATGGAGAGGGCTTGAGGTTATTAGTTGAAACCGAGTAACCTTTCCAGGCTTTTCATCTCTTTCTTTTCACATTTGAATATGAAAAGCATATTCAAGTCAAAGACCATCACTTTAATGACATTTGGCAGTCATTTGATTTATTAGGTTTTAGAAAAAATTTCCCTTTAAATATTTCATCATACTATGCTAATCCTGGTGATATTGCCAGCTGCAGCCTGTACCGGTGTTAGTGGAGACAGAGTGGTGTGGGGTTTTCTCTGTCATCCCAGTAAAATTTCCATGAGTCTACTGAATAATAAAATAACCGTACTGAAATATTCAGATTTGGGTTTTTAGTTAAAGTGTCTTAGAATACATAATAAAAGAAAATGTCTTTTGAAAGAAGGGGGTAAAATTACTTCATCAAATATTGAGGGGGTTGGACAGCAATGGAAATTGTTCTTTATGAGGATATTTTTACAATAGGATACTTACACTTTTCAATTTGATTAATTATATTATATGCTTTGAAATATCTAAGGTAATCGTTGTGGTAAATTTAACACACTGACTTATATTTAACAATGAATTTTTAAAAGTTAGTTATATAAACAGGTCTTATTTTCAGGATTTTCTAATTATGATTTGAAGTTATATAATTTATGGTAACATGCTTTTGAACTGAGTAAAGGGGAATAAAGAACAAATTTAAAACTGTAAGAACAAACATTTAACTAAGGTGTTATCTTGGTGTGATCTGATTTTTAAGTTAAGTCATGGTCTATTTGTTTTAAATCATTACTCAAGGAACACATGTGACTCCCATAATAATGTCTGTGGCACCAAAATCTATTAAATTAGAATTGAAGTGCAAATTACACTATCAAACAAATACATACTTTATTTGTTAATTCTGTAAAAATTATGTAAAATAAATTGTGAGAAAATATGTTAAATTGGATAAAAATTTTATTTCTTTTGTTTGAAAACTACTTATTGACTGAAATATGTTATGGCAGAATATATGAGAGTGAATTGTAGGCTCTATTCTAGTTAATATGGATTTATATAGCTACATATATTAGCATAATAGCTATGAAGTATTCAACAGGCTTTGATCTCTGAATAACCAAAACTTTCACAGGTACTGTAGATTGAATAAAAGCAGTGATAAACATGTACTTCATTACACAGTTTGAAACAAGGCCAAGTGATACTTGTCATTCTGAAAGCAATCAGAGATGAAGATCTCATAATCTTCCCTCCTGATAGATGACTAGTGGGTATTTATAGCCTCGAATGTAAATCAGGAGACTGCTGCCATGACACTGTAACTTCAAACCCTGGGGCACCAGAATCTCGTTCTGTCTTTCTCTGTCGTGAATCATCTGTCATGGGTAACTAAATAATAGTGTACAGTGCCTTCCAAAAAAGAAGCCCATTGGCCTCCATGTTTTATTTAAAACTGATAGTAAAATAGAGTAAAGGATTTTTGGTTCATTTGTTTTATTTGTTTCTTTGTGGTTGGTTTTTTGTTTCTTTTTAAACAGACCTCAGAAAAGATTCGGATTGAGATCATAGCTCTAAGCCTCAGTGATTCTCGAGTAACTGCGGATGACACTATCCAGCGGCTCTTCGTTGAGTGCCGATTCTACAGTCTTCCTGCCGAGGAGACACCTGTGTCACTGCCCAAACCCAAGAGTGGGCAGTGGATCTACTATAATTATACCAATGGTAGGTGTGTCTCTCTGATACTATAGGAAGGAGAAGTACAGTTCTACTCTTCATAAAATTACAGAAGTCTTGCCAGAATAAATTTATGAAAGTCAGATCTATTATCCTGGCCAGGTGGTTCAGTTTGGTTGGAGCATCATCCCGTACACCAAAAGGTTGTGGGTTTGATTCCCTGTCAGGGCACATATCCAGGTTGCATGTGTGATCCCCAGTCAGGGTGGGTTGTGGGAGGCAACCAATCAGTGTTTCTCTCTCACATCAGTGTTTCTGTCTCTCTCTCTCTATCTCTTCCTCTCTCAAACATATCCTCGTGTGAGGATTAAAAAAAAAAAAAGCCAAATCTGTACCATAAGGATAAAGTTTGAAGTAGAATTGAAGAAAAATTTGAATACTAAAGTTAAAACAAAAACAATAGAAAAACAATGTTTCTAGTATCATTTAAATAATGCCACCAAGATCTACAATTAAATTTAATAAAATACTATGATATTTAAACGAGGCAATATGTAGTAGTTTTTTAATCATATGGATTTGAGTGATTCAACAAACTAATTTCTTCAGTCTTTCTGATCAATGTGATCACATAGCTGTTCTTACCATATATATATTTCCCAGTGTATATCTCTCCCCCAGTGTGTATCTCTGCCCCAGTGTATATCTCTGCCCCAGCGTATATCTCTGCCCCAGCATACATCTCTCCCCAGTATATATCTCTCCCCCAGTGTATATCTCTCCCCCAGTGTATATCTCTCCCCAGTATATCTCTCTCTCCCAGTATATATCTCTCCCAATGTATATCTCTCCCAGTGTATATCTTTCCCAGTATATAACTCTCCCAGTGTATATCTCTCTCAATGTATATCTGTCCCAGTTTGTAATTCTCCCAGTGTGTGTAACTGTCCCAGCGTATATCTTTCCCAGTGTATATCTTTCCCAGTGTCTGTCTCTCTCCCAGTGTCTATATGTTCAGGATTTTAATTGAGTGACATAAGTTTTTACAGTACCTTTCATCATTTAGTCCACACATCCATTTTTAGCAGCAGGAAAGGTATCTCTTAATTTAGGACTTTATCAATGAGCTACTTGGCATATAAATGTACTGAACCAGTACAGACACAGTAGGCAACATGTAAATTCTTACGGCAACCAACTTGAAGATGATTTTAAAATAGTACGTGTTGGCATATAATTGGAGTGGTGTAAAAAAAAATCAGATCAAGCTGCTATGACCCTAAATTAAAACAGCTTATTAAGTTCTCCTAAAGCCTATATTCAAATGAACCATAAACATGGAGTGTTGTGTTATCTTTAGCAAAACAGACCATCCCGTGTTAGTTTTATAAATTATGTTTTAGTCAACGTGTATAATCATGCTGTTAATTAGCAGTACTACAAATGTTTGCGATTACTTTTTTTTTTTTTGGCTGGCATTTTTGGAAATGTGTTCATTGCTTGAGACAGTAGTGACAATAATCATGAGTATTCAGAGATCTGGTCCACTCTTCCTTGTACCCACAATTCTTACTAGTATGTGAATTCAAGCAAAATGTTTAAATATCATGGTTTCTTATTTTCTTATCTATTAAATAAAGTGTTCTCTAATACCCCTTCCAGCTCCCTTTCTGTAATTCTGGAATGTGAGGGACCACATGAGAATGAGCAGTGTGCTCAGGAGAAGACTCTGTTCTCTCCTTTCTTTCATTTACTTCAAATAGCAGAAACATTTCCAAAAACATTTTCTCAAGCTTCCTATAGATATTTTCACTGCAGAATACCAGAAAAGTAAACCATATCAAAATATTATTAGAAATGAAAGAACCATTTAGTCGACTAATTTTAACGAAGATACTCCAAAGAAAGAGACAAACTCTTCTGGTCTCTGTATAATTCTTTGTAAATTATAAACATTCTTTGTGAACATTCAGCAGTAGAACGTTTAGTTGGACTGGCAACAAAATTGTTTTCTAGAAATTGATGTACATTAAAAAGCTTGGCCGTGCCCCAGAGCAGATGTCTCCATCTGCTTAAGGAGCAGTGCAAGTCATGCCTTGGATGAGATCTGCGGTGCGTGCTCCAGTGTCCTGGATTTTGGACATTTCACATGGTGACCTAGATCTGTTCGGGGCTTTTGGTTAGCTGGTTGACATTGGTTTTGTTTTTGTTTTGTTTTTCCTTTTACTGCAAGGTACCCTACTATCTTTTTTGTATTTTCAGAGTTGCTTATATTTCTATGAATTAGCCATTTGATACCAACAAGAAAACCAATAACCTATTAGAAATGAATTCAGTATAGTGTTTACTTTTCCTCTGTTTCTACTCCTGTGTATTGAGATTTGACTATGTAGACTTTTTAAGATTAATTGAAAAAAATTGTAGGATATTTATCTGGGGAGAGGGAAAAGGAAAGTACTTTGTGTTTAGAAGCAAAATAATGCAGTTCTGTCTCTACAATCTCTGAAAAAATGAAGTCCTAGGTCATCATCAAATTTAAGAAATAATATTAACTCTGTAGTTTTTATTTTACTTTTCACTTAAATATGACATGATAAACATGTTTTGTTTTGTTGTTAATTATTATATTTACCTTTCTGTCATTGCAAGGGAATCTCCTTGAATCTTTGATTAATAAGTATCTCATCTAATTATTTCTAATGATTTACCAGTCACTTGTTACTTGATATAAAAGACCAATATAATGTAGACTTACATCTTAAATCTTACACAATGTTAATGAAAGTAATTTTATTTCCAAACTGACTCTTTAATTCATATGGAATTTTTAGAACAGTTAGTACATGCTGTCTCCTATTTGAACTCCAGACAGTGGAGAAGTTAACTGAACTTGGCAATGATTTTTCCCTGCATGATGACTTGAATCTATTTAAAAAGGAGTTGTACACTGAACCTAAATTAGGTAGATAAAATGAGAGGTTTAGAATAGAGATCCCCAGAATTATTCATAACCTGATTCAGTCTTTATTAAGAGATGTTAATACCAGTTTCACCTACACACACACACACACACACATCCCACCCTCTCCCCACCCCCATACACACACACACACACACCTTTTTTGGGCTACTACCACTGAGGAAACAGTGCTAGGTGAGTAGCAAGAATAAAACAACCGTATTTTATTGGGCTTGAAAATTTTGCTGAGAAAGCAAGAAAAAACAGTTTGAAAGAAGATAAGACTAGTGGCAGGCCTGAGGAAGGCTGTCCGGCTGAGTAAGGCCTTCTAGGGGATTGACAGTGAGAAGAAGAAAGACAAATGAAATCGTCCAAAGTTTTTATGAGATGTATACAGATTGAGGTCCTTAGTCTCTGAGCATTGAACAGTCTATCTTTTGGGACATTATAGTTTAATTCAGAATATGAAAAGGATGCATAGTTTCAGATTTTGTTACTAATTGGAGAAGAAACTTAGCAAAGAAAGGATTGGGGGTGATAACACTTTAACATAGTGGTTATCTGAGATTCGAGGTCATCAACCATTATAATTGAACCATCTGCATTTCTTACTTCTGCCAGATGGCATTGAGAGAGAAATGTAAGGACTTCTCCAACCTGCAGAAGTGAGGGATATGTTTTTACTGGTACACCATTCAAAATCCACTAAAGTATTTGGACTACCGGTTTGAGACAAATGCTTTCAGTAAGTTTATGTCCAAAGTTAGCAAATCGTAAACATATGTGAATTCTGATTAAAATGAAAGGTAAATAGCTTAACTTTTAAGAGTTCTGATATTTTTCATCATCACCAAAATAGCTTTTTAAAGGATGCATTTGAATTTTTTAAATTGTAGATTTTTTTAAACTGTTTAGTTTCAGAAGATAAAATGGATGTTTTCAGGATCGTGACCTAATTGGAAGTGGCTGATGTGTTCCTCTTTCCCACTTGTTCAGCGCGAGTGTTCACTAGTCCCCGATCCCATTCAGAAACTGGGCAAAGGGGTGTTGGCGCCACTGTGACTCTCTGTGTGTGGGATCCTGACCAGCAGCACCTGGGAAGGCATTAAAAATGTACGTTCTCTTGCCCAGCCAGTGTGGCTCTGGTTTAGGGTCAACCCACGCACCAAGAGGTTGTGGGTTCGATTTCCGGTCAGGGCACATGCCCAGGTTGTGGGCCAAATCCCCAGTGAGGGGCGTGCGGGAGGCGGCCAGTCGATATTCTCACTCATTGTTTTTTCTATCTTTCTCCCTCCTTCTCCCTTCCCCTCTTTCTAAAACTAATAAAGAAAAAACATCTTTTAAAAAAAATCAAATCAAAATCAAAATGCACATTCTCAGGTTCCACCCCAGACTTGCTGAGTCAGAAACTGGGGGTGACCCGGTAATCTGCACTTTAGCAAGCCCTCCAGGGCATTCTGGTGCACATTAAAGACTGTGAGCCCTGGCCAGTGTGGCCCAGTGATTGGTGTCATTCCATGCACCAAATGGTTGGCAGTTCGATTCCTGGTCAGGGCACATGCCCAAGTTGTGGGCTCGATCCCCAGGTGGGGGCATGCAGGAGGCAGCCAATTGATGTTTCATTTTCACATCAATATTTCTCTCTCTGAAAAGCAATTTTAAATCTTTTTTTTTTATTAAAAAAATAAAGACTATAAATCACAGGTTAGATTAACATGCCCAAGTTAGGACTTGTACAAGCAGGAGAGGTATAGTTCTAATTTGGTATGCCTTTGAAGACCTAAGCTATTGGTAAGTAGCTTGAGTTTTTTCAAAAACGAATTTTTAAAAGTGTTCAGCCAAGAGAGTTCTTTAAGGCCCCTGGAGCAGGTATTTTACAGCACTATCCCTTTGAGAAAAAGGAAAGGAGAATGAGGTGCTTCCCTTGTGCAGTTAGGGAGCGCTCTCCCACACCCCAGTCTGTGCTGACAGCATGGTAGCAGTTTAAACAGGAGGAAAAGTTTGGGCTTCCAGTGGAAGGAGAAGTCACAGCATGGGGGTTAAGAAGGCTGGCTCTGGAGACAGACATTGCTGCATTCACATTCTGGCTTTGTTGCTTGCTAACCGGGGGACCTCAGTAAACTGGAGCCAACATGAGGTACCATTAGTAGGACTCATGTATCAGCGTGACTTTTTAGTCTTGATAAGTAAACCCTATATTTACTAAATGCTCTGAACACTTTGTCTTTTTTGATTCCTGTAAATCTTCACTGACCTACGTAATTAGTCACATTTACAGATATGGTGGCAAGAGCAGTAAGCTGAAAGTTGTTATTGACCTTGGTCCGTTCTTCTTGTGAATCACTAATGCTCTCCCGCACAGACATCTGTCTCCCACTTCACGTGCCTAACTCGGTGCCGGCGCATCTTCGGCCTTCAGTTAATATTTGCTCAACTGAGTCAAATGATTACATCACCTGAGAGCATCCTAATGTGACACTGAGCTTACATTGTCCAGGGAAACATTCTCAAGATGAAATGTGTTTGTTCCCATGGAGCCTGGCCTTAGAATTGTCATGGTGTCGTTCACTCTGTGTACTTTTGATCACGGATCATCTCTAAGTTGAAATCTGGTCTCGGCATCTGGAAAAGAAATGTCCAGAAGCTAAGGCACAGTGGAAAGGCCACCAAGCTGAGAAGGAGTAATCAGGGTGAAAATTGGAAAGGTCACATTCTGAGATGCCACTTTCCTCAAGTGCAGACGTTTATTTGCAGCTTCAGGTGTTCCGGGCTTCTTCTTGGGGGGACTTAGGAGCAGCTGTCTAATCTGGAACTTCAGCTAAGTAACGTCTTCCACCTTCCTGCATGCAGCATGTCCCTTTACAAACCAAAGACAGCTTCTCCTCCTCCAGGCCTCCTCTTTCTTCGTCCATGTTCTCTTCCATGTCCCCCACCCCAACACCTGCAAACGCAGGCTGTGCATTTCCTCAGCCCTGCACTCCAGAGGTGCCCCCCTTACTGAGCGCCGTGGCAGGAGAGGAGGGTGGAACCCCCGACCTCCGGGAAGGACAAGCTCTCTGCCATGCGTTAGCATTATCACTCGTTTCTTGGATGGAGGAAAACGCAGTAAATCCCTCAAATACAAAGCAATAAAGACCGCCAGCTTCCACGGCCATGACTGCCAGGGCCATTAACAGGCAGTGACAGGACACGGCACTCCCGGATGTCAATGTCTCGTGTGTCCTCTCTGACAGTGCACATGGAGCTGCCAGTGCCGTGACATCACATCACATGACTGTTCTCTGACAGTGCACATGACTGGCTGCCAGGCTGCTTTCTTTTCCCAGGTGAACAAGTGAGGTGCCATGGCTCACGTCCCGGAAAACAGGTATTTGTGCAAGTACAGAGCGGTGTTAACGCAGCGTACTCCTGAGTGACTTCCTGTGTGGACGTGTTGTTTTTTTCCCGGTACAGTGATCTACGTGGATAAAGAAAACAACCAAGCCAAGAGGGACATCTTAAAAGCTATACTACAAAAACAGGAGATGCCTAATAAAAGGTACAGTTAAGCTTTTTTTTTTATCCTCACCTGAGGATATTTTTCTATTTATCTGCAGATAGAGTGGGAGGGAGGGAGAGAGGGAGAAAGAGAGAGAGAGAGAGCTATCGATGTGAGAGAGACACATCGACTGGTTGCCTCCCGCATGACTCCGACCAGGGCTGGGGACGAACCACTACCGAGGTACGTGCCCTTGGCCGGAATCGAACCGACACTCATTGTCTGCAGGCCCACGCTCTGATCGCTGAGCCAAACTGGCCAGGATGGTACATTTAAACATTCTAAGTTATCTGATGCTTTACATAGAGTAGCTCTCTGGAGCACAGCGCGGTGACGAAACGGCAGGGTGAGGAACCAGAGCACGTGTTCCCTGGGTCTTTCCCCCCGGAAAGAGTCGCCCTGCCTACCATACAGTGTAGCTGCAGGGATCTGCAGTGCATGTACAGTGTCCCACTGCTGGTCCAGGGCCACTGTAAGGAGCCTGGCAAACTTGCGAGGAGCGTGCCCTCTGGAGCCCGACGGCCAGAGTATGCGTTCTTGTTTCATCACTTACTAGCTGTCTGACCTCGGACAAGTTACTTCACTACCCTGTGCCTCATTTTCTTCGTCTGTAAAATGGAGGGAATAATGCCACATCGGGTTGTTGTAAAGATTAAAGGAGATAATGTACATACAGTGGAGGGACTGGCATCTGACAGGTAGTTAAGGGCCCAGTGTCAGTTGCAATCAGTGTAAGTAGTAGTAATATTAATATTATTATTTTAATAGCTCATCAGCCTTTCAGACTAATTTTTATTTTACTATCACGGTTTAATAACTCATCATCTCATGGTTGTTAATGCTTGGGGGCCAAATTTTAACAGGACACTTTGCAATTCTGGTTCAGTAGAAAAATTATACACTTTTGAAAAGGGGAAAAAAACTGATCCTAGTAAGTTTATACCTTTGCACGAGCTCCCTCCCATGCACTCTGAGGAGTGTCTCGGTGTGGGCCCTGAGCCTGAGCCGGCTCCCCCGGCCCGGTCTGGGGGACCCTTCTCTCTTCCGGTTCTCTTACGGCTGTGGCGCAGCCTCTCGCTGCCTGAGGAGTGCAGCTACCTCGCGCCTTCGAGGGGCTCGGGCTCTCTCCTTTCCTACAGGTCGGGGGGATAGTAAAGACACACTTTTCAAAGAGCTGTCCAGCTAACATGGTACCCTCTGTTTCAAAAAAGGAGACTGGAATTCTTAGCTCTTAAGATGTAATAGTAGCTTTTCATTAACTCCTTGAAATGTGTGTATCATCTGTTTGGATCTCATATCTGAAGAAGGGGCAGCAAACCCTGGCAGTTAGCCTGAGGTTCTGACTTTCCCAGGGTGGTAGATAATCATGCAAGTCTGACTTTGTTTTGTGTACATCGACTTCTTGCAAGGCCCCTTCAAATACCACCAGTCCCCCAGGTTCTCCTAGGTCACCGGTGACTAAACAGCACTAGCCACATCTTCTGCTTCTCTGCGGTCAGCAGGCTGGGCCGTCACTGTCTCGGGCTGAGCTCTGTTCCCATGGACGAGCTCGGCTGGACTTCCCGGCCTGTCCAGGCGCACTCGTCTGGCTCCGTGTTCACTCTGTTCTAGAAGGTTAGAACTCCTTATAACTAGCACTCCTTGTTGAAGGCGAGCAATTTTGTTTCCTCACAAGTGTTTATTTTTAAAAGGGCCGGTTCTACTTTAATTTTAGACCTGCCTTTCCTCACAAGACTTGCATATTTGTACCAAAATAGTTTTGACGGGACTAAAGGTAAAATATAAGCTGTATTTAAGTGTGAGTATGGACAGTTTAGCCTAAGCCAAACTGTAGTTTTAAATTATTTTAGTGTACTTCCTCCTTTTTTAATTTAACTTTATAGTTTCTTAACTTTGTGTTTGACGTCTCATTGTACTCTATAAAATTATAAGCCAGAAATTTTGCAATTTTTTGTTTCTAGCCCTTTCTCTGGCATTTAGAAGTTTGTTTATGTTTTTGTTTTTGTTTTTTGTCTAAGAATCCCCCTATGCTCAGTGGCATTAGTCATCTGCATTTGTAAAGTGATATAGTTATCATTCTTGGATACGAGATACTTTGTAAAGATAACACTCACCATTATTATAAAGTCTGCGTAGCTTCTATTCCATAAGTCTTATGGGTGTAAAACGTGTATCAGATACCACTTCTAAGTTCTACTCTCCCAAGCATAGTTATTCCAGGACAGTTTCTTTCATTGTCATTCTTTAAACTGAATGATACAGTCACTGTAATTTGGGAATCTCAGTTTTCAGCTGAAACAAGCCTTTCCCACACTTCCCTTTTCTCTTCCCTTAGACATGTGGAGCTTAAGCAGATCTGCCTAGCTTAGTAATAGTAAAAGAAGTGCAAAGGGTTACTCAGTGCTCACTGTGTTCAGTTACTGCTTCCCTGCATCACTATGAGAGATAGGTATAATTATCCCCATTCTACAGATGAGGAAGCTGAGATCAGAGAGGTTTAGTATTTGTCCAAGGTTGCACAGCTAATAAACAGGAAAGCAGAAATTTGAACCCAGAATGGGTGCCCTTAACCACTCCATCTTAATCCCTGTATCTTATGTGTTGTACAAAATACTCATCTTCTCCACCTACAGACCAGACTCTGCACTCCTCACAAGTGTTGTGTGAATAGGTATTACCTTTGGTTTCAACATAAGGAATTTCTATTTTCTAACCAAAATTTGTTGCTAGCAAAACAGGGACTTAGTAACTAAATGAAATGTTCAACACTTATTGTCAGCAAATCAATTTAAACTTTTGTCATGTTTACCTATGTGTTTGGAAAGGATTTCATTATTTTTCAAGGCCCAGTTTTTCAGAGACTTCGATTTTTATCTGGGAATGTTATCTAAGAAACAAGTTTCTTGTTTCACTTCTGATTTGGGATGGATACGTTTTGAAAATGGTTAAAATGGTAGTTTACAAGCATCCGTGGTTTAAGCTATGGTGCCAAGACATATCAAAAGAATACTTAACTGTAAATTCCTGTCCTTTGGTTCGTCCAAGTGCGTTTGGCCTCCACACATGTCACTAATTCAAATCAGTTCCATCAGAACCCCACAATTATGTGTCTAAAAGTAAAACAAAACTTGGATGCTCTGACTGTAAGTTAAGAGATCGCTGAAGTAATACAAATATTCCGTGTTGCTGTTGGGCACAGCTGCAGCGTTTATCTAACGTGATTCAGGGAGCGTGGTCTCCGCACTTTATAGAACACACATGGTTAGTTAAATTGCTTAGTAGCAACTCCAAAGTTGTGCATTTCTATTGAAAATGCTTTCTAACCACCATGGTCTTTATTCACTTGATCCTGTAGCCTTAAAAGTAGATGTATCAAAATATGATCATATAGTGTGCAACAGAGTGAGCATTGGGTTCTTCTCTGCCTCGTTATTATATTTCTTCAGATTCTAGAGGAAAATGTCAGTCAGTGCTTAGAAAAGTGGATTATTGTTCATTTGAAGGCTGGGTGTGCTCTAATAATTCTAGTAGTTCATATAATAGCTTAGCTAACTTAATATAATATCTTTTTATTGGAATAATTGCAGATTTCAAGAGTCATCTGTAGTGATAAAAACCCATTTGGTAGTTGTGTTTCCTGGTGAGTTTTTCTAACTCTGTGGTGGTTTTTTCTGTTTTTCTCCTTCCCAGTGTCCGCTTCACAGTGGTCAGTGACCCTCCAGAGGACGAGCAGGATCTGGAGTGCGAGGATATAGGTGTCGCTAGCCTTGACCTCGCTGCCATGTTTCGGGAAGGAAGAGACCTCGTCGAGCACAATCTTGATGGTACGAGTAAAAGTATTGCTCAGTCTGTACAGCTAGCAGTGGCTAACATCCAGGGTCTTTTTTTTTTTTCATCCTCACCTGAGGATATTTTTTCATTTATCTTCAGATAGAGAGGGAGAGAGAGAAACATCGATGTGAAAGAGACATATCGACTGGTTGCCTCCCACATGACCCCAACCAGGGCCGGGGATGAACCTCAACCGAGGTACATGCCCTTGACCGGAATCGAACCCGCAACTCATTGGCTTGTGGGCCGACGCTCTAACTGCTGAGGCAACCCGGCCAGGGCCAGGGTCTTTATTAAAACCTTCTTTTTGCTGGCGCAAGGACAGTGAGTCAAACATTAGTTGAATCCTTTGCAACTCAAGCTGACATTGTGTTGAAGCTAGAAGCCTGTCCCTCCCCTGTCCTCCCCTCTGCCTTCCTTTGAATCAACGGAAATTTAAAAATAATTACTTGTATTTCACAAGGAATTACTCATTTTGTTCATATTGGGGGGGGTGACACACATGGCCACTGGCACTTCTCGTGTTGTTTGGGAGCCTCGTGCTGTTGGGCTCGGCTCAGCAGCGGCCTGTTACTCTGAGTGATTGTCAAGTGCTTTCTGAAGGGTTCGCCCTCGTTCGGGCTCACAGTCCAGTGATGGTCACTGTAAAGAACTCTGAGTCGTTGGTCACTTGCTTCCCACCAGGATTCAGGGAGGACAGAGATTCCTGGCCCGATGTACTGTGCTGGGTTTCACCTCGCCAGGTGTGAGTCCCAGCAGGGCGTAATTTCTTTCCTCTCTTCTTGTGACGTATTGGGAACACGCTGAAGGAATGTGGCTGGGGCTGCCCACAGTACGTGGGGAAAGGAGGCTGAGTCCTGGTCTCGTGGCTGAGTGCGCACAGCCTTCTTCGGGAGTGTCCCCGGGTGTTTCCTCCTTCATTCACGCGCCAGGTGACTGCTCCACTGAGCACCTAAGTGCCAGGTTCTGCCCTGCACCCCAGTTTTGCCATGTTCATATGTCAGCTGCATGTCCTAGATAGCTGCATGTGCTCAGAGTCAGGATCAAGCCAAATAACTGAGCAGTTAGACCAAAGAACCGCATTAGGAACCTGTCCTGAGACATTTGGATAAACCAGACATATCTACCAGACAAAGGTTCACAACTTTGTGGCAGCCACAGAAGAGAAAGATGAGAGAATTAAAATATTAACCTGAAACACCCAATAAAGACACAAAGCACCAAGAGAGTCTGACAGAATGACCAAAATTATATGTGCTTTATTTCTTAATCTCTTTTCCAGTCAGTTCTGTTTAGCAACCCATATTCTCCTTCTGCGCGACCATGTGACCGTACTGGTCAGACACAGACAGCCCTTGCAGCCATGTTGGGGGAGTCAGAGGCGAAGCACTGGGCTGTGTAGGCCTCATGCCTTGCTCTGTGGCAGACACAGAGGCGAGAGTCCCACAGAGGAGGGAAGCCCCCGGGATTGAGTGGGCCCACGGGTGCCCTGCCCTCAGCCCACCTGTTCGTTTTTCCACCTAAGTTCGCATACCACGTTTTGTTTGAAGGTTTTCTTACAGATTTTCTTGGAATGCAACACACACACACACACAACACACACTATAAAGTTCAAGTAAAACCACAAGGAATATAAACAGGAAACTACATAGACTCCTAAGTGCTATCAAGCTTACAAAGTTCAGGATTCTGGCCTTGAGTCACTAGCAGTTATCAGCATGCACAGGTACTGACTCAGCAGGTACTGACTCAGCATCCCACCCAGCCCCGCGGAGCTCAGGGAAGCCCCTGCTTTCGCCTGACCGTCCGCCGTGGTGCACCACTGAGGGCTGCCCGCGCCCCTCCCCAGAGGCCCGTGCGCTCAGACCCTTCATCTCCTTCCCACGGCATCTGCTCTTGGACCTCAAAGCCAGTCCACAGACCTTAATATTCCTGAGTCTGCCATTTCCACTTTTTCTAATTGCACATTAAATCTATTATAAATGGCGTGTTTTCCTTGGAAAGATAAATAACCAATCCAAATTATGATCATGCGACTTCTTTACAATGGTTAGAACACAATCTTCTTGTTGTATCTTGATCCCTTTTAGACTTTGTACTTCTGCTGGCTCAGAAATTCTGCCTCTGTGTTGTAATCGTTATCCTGTAGTCTTTCCACTAGGTAAACATCATGATTAGCTCGTTAGTTTCAGCTCCTCGAGCAAAATGTGCATGTCGAGTGTGTATGTCCATGCACACGTGGCCGCTCAGACTTCTGAGATGTCACTGAACTTGGACTTTTATGGAGATATTGTCACCTTTTCAGCTGTTGTTTCAGCCACCCTACCTGAAGGAAAATCTGTGGAAAGGTATTCATGTTTTCCTGCTCTTCTCTCCCTAGTGTGGGATGCCCGAGCAGGTGGTGGAAGAATCGGCCAGCTCAGGGTAACAGTCGAAGCGCTCCATGCCCTACGGTCTGTCTGTGAGCAGTGCGGAGAGGACTCGGAGGCTTGAAGGAACTGCCACCGAGGCACCGCCGCCTCTGCAGAAACGCTCACAGGAAAGCTCGTAGCTGAGGTTTCTGTAATTACTGTGATGCATATAATCTATAATTCATGGGAAGCTGGGGCGGGGCGGGAGGGCAGGGTTTGAAGGGGTCAGGTTTTGTGTACTCTTTCATTTGTTTATTTTTCTATTTCCCTTTTCCCATGACTGCCACCCCTCAGGATTTCAGATCTCCACAATGAGCAACACCTTTTTAACAGTTTATACCTACACGATAGCATAAGAAAATCTGTTTGCATTTTCAACATTTTCTTACGAAGAACTGAAATGCAAGTCCCATTTTTATTTGTAATAAGCAAAAAGCATAAATCTTAGAAAACCTATGAAAAAGAAATACTTTCATGTTATCCCTAATCGTCCCACTAAGTGGAATGCCTATGATTAGCCTCATTAAGAGTTTTATACTGTGAAGATTTTATTAGAAGCAATATATGAAAATTACTTGGATTAATGTGTTAATCCTCCTCTTTAAAATGCTAATATCCATTTTATGCACATTAAAGCTCAGTGTGCATGTCCTTTGATGCATGCAGTTTCTGTCAATTAAATGTAAAGAACGAGACTTGGCACCAACTTACTAAATTATTGCAAGTTTTTGTTTTTCTTAAAAATTACAGTTCTTCCTATTTGTATTATTTTCGTGGATTTGTGATGGTGATATTGATAATGGGATCCAGGAATGTATGTATTTAAAAAGGAGATAAATTCAGATATATATGAAATTTGCGCTTTGAAAACAGCTTGTGACATAGAAAGAAATTATTAAAAAGTATGGCTCAAAATGATATGCTTAGTTAGTCCTGAAAGGAGTATCTTTTCATCATTTTTTAAAATGTACATCAAGCTTGTACAATGCCAGGGTGTATCTGGAGAACCAGACCCTCGGAAAGCAGCTCAGAAAGTTAATTTTCTAGCTTTGCCCAGTCTCACTGAAGGATTTAATTGATATTTTTAATGGAGCTGTGAATCAGTGCTGCAAAGGAATTGTCTCTAGAGGTCTAGGATATAATGCATTTCATTTTTTAATTTACTTTTTTATTTGTCATTTTCTTCAAAGGATTTTTATAGGCTGTGGGTTTTCACTGTTTGCAAACAGGCTATGTTCCTTCTTAAGCATATGTAAAGTATTCAGGGAGATAAGTAATTTATTAAAATCTACCTAATTTGCCGTGATATATTAAATCTCTGCTTCAGTGATCACAGACCATTTCATTTAGAGAATTAGGCATTCCCTCTTTGTGTGATTAAAGCTCTGGAAAATGAGTTCTTTGCTCCTATTTGTGAACATTCAAAGCCCACTAATGGCAAGAAGATGGAATAGATTATGAGACAATTCATTACAGTTCAACGGAGAAAAAAAGCAGCTATAATGCAAAAATGCAAGTATGAATATCTGCATATAGTTTGAACCATCTGTGCTCTCGTGGCTCCAGTGATGAGGCTCGTCTTTGGGAGGCTTTGAAATGACATCCGCACGATGCGAACTTGTTGATGCACATTGTGGGCCCAGTAGAGTATGATCTGACCGCAGAAATCTGCGAGTTCTGTCTCTACCATTGGGCGTCCCTGTTTGGGGCCGCCATCTCCAGGAAGAGTCCTGCTCTCATCAGACTCTGCAGATCTTCATAATAGCTCATTCCTCTGGAACCTTCTCGAGACCACAAACATCTGCAGCCTAACCCTCTGCAATCCCAGTAAACAGCCGCATGTTTGTTGTCACTTCGGCTGGCTCTGAGCTCATCCTCTTGGCCTCTCCTCCCAGCTTTCTTTGGCTCTAGGCAGTTACAGTGTCATTAAGGCCCATAATACTCCTGCAGTAATTCAAAACAGCCGGCTTGGACCCTGGGCTTAACGGAGTGGTTTCTGAGACATTTATTGTGGTATTCTCCCAGGAGGTTTGTATTATTGTTTTAAAACATTACATCCCAAACTAAATGCCCTTTCTGTAGTGGGAAGAACGGGGTTGCGCTGACTTCTTATCTGTTAAGTGGAGAGGGGAGTTTTTATCAGAAAACTTCTGCTATCTGCTCAACTGTGTGGAATGCATACCTCAGATAAGATGAGAATTAGCCAGTTTCTGTCCCATCCCGGCTCCTTTTCTAGTTGTAAAATACACACCTTGAGCTACATTAATGTTCACAGAGCTTATTTTCATGGGTGACTGCGTAGGTGCTGACGTTCTGAGGCGGGCCTGTGGCCACGCTGCTCTCGGGGGGTGTTCCGGTCGGGTCTCTGACCTGTCCAAGGGCAGGTTTCTGTCTTGTGTTAACCAGAGTTCACTGAAGCTCACCGCCTTTTGGATTACAGAGCTCCGGTGTTCTGGTGAGCCTTGTCCGCTGCACACGGCTTGGGGACAGGAGGGCCGGGCAGTGGCTTTGCCTCTCGAATACGCCGGTTAAGGTCATGCGGGTGTGAACTCCAGCCCTCGGTGTACACGACACGGCACCCTCAGCACTCCGGGGGGCTCCAGTGCTTGTAGATTGGAAATATAAACAGAGATGTGATGTGGTGTGTGGGAGAGTGTATTTTACATGGTTTTTTGCCCACTGTAGTAGAAATGTCAAATTCCCAGCCACTGTCATGAGAAGCAGTCGACAAAAATAAGTTTTATGGTTTACAGTGTGGTTTACGTAGAGAACATTTCTCTTCACTCTCAGTTTCAACATGTTTTCTAAATTATCATGGTTTATTGCTGTTTAACTTAAGTTAGTTTTTTTAAAGAATAAATAGAGAATATGTTTCATCAAATAAAGAACAGGCACATTGAAATTCTGCTGTTCCTGCCATTCAGTTGTTACCACAAACACAGATAATTTCTGTTACGAAGAAGTGCGGCTAAGACGTGGCTGTGTGACCGGGGAGGTTCTCATGCACCCGTGTTCCCACGACAAAACATAAATTATTTCAGTGATCTGACATCAAGGCTGTGACAATGAAAACCACTTCTTACACATGTTCTAACAAGAATCTGATTAACATTTTTGTGGATATGGAAAATAACTTTTTTTAGTCAAACTGGCACTATTGCTGAATTTAGAATGATTTCCTTATGCACTACACATAGCAAAATGTGAATCGTGTCTGTGAACAAATTTGACAGTAAAATGTCATCTTTATGTAGTGTAAAACGACCAAGGGAGAGCTTTGGGGATATGAAATTATCAAGTGGTTGACAATATCAGGATAATAGTTCATCCCCAACTAGGAGAGTACACTTTAGTAAGTCACTCATGCCTGAAGGTCTCTGGTTACCTTAACAAAGAAAAACTAAACCATGATTTACTATAGATTGGGCAACACACCTAATTAGATCCATGAGTGGGAGCAAACAGTTTTCCATCCCCTTTGTTTAGGACAAAAACAACCTCCAGGTCAGCCAGAAAGCTAAAACATAGCAAAGCTTTAGGAACAAGTGTTTTAAAAACAAACTATAGAATTAGAAAACAGCTCATCCTGTTCTCTCTTATCTTACAAGGTAGACTTGTCCCTGCCATTTCGAAGTGCCACCAGCTGACACTCCTCACAGTCTAACCGGGAACATCGGGCCCATGTTCCTGGTATTGTTACACCTTTGTTCTCGCCCCTCTCGTTTTCCAGATGACATTGACTAATATGTGAAACCGTGTTTCTCCTTCAGTTTTTCTGAAGTAAAACCTTGTTCTCAGCATGTGCTCTTTCTGGGGCAGACACCTTGAGGCTTTTTCTTCAGCTTATGCCCCTTCTCACTGTTGAGATTCACCTTTCTCATCTCTGTCGCAGCATCGTCACCTCTCTCTCCATTAATCACCGTGAGTCATCTTGTTGGATTGAGTTTCCCACCTTGGTCTTTATATTTCTATCATCTATTCTGTTCACACCTGTATTCAGCTGATCATTTCCTCCCACCTGTCTGTCCCCCTTTTCTTGGTGGTACAGCCACTAATTCAGGTGCCAGCACCTGCGACTGCTCCAATGGCCCTCCCCAAGTCGTTCTTGGTGTTAAGACCTTTGTTCAACATGGCAGGTCAGTCTTAGCCATGAGGAAGTTGAGGAAACAAGCTAATTTTTCCATCTTGGCTGCTCGTACTTTTTTACAGTGAAGTAACACAGGTTGTGACTCAGAAAGTTCTAAGGAATCACTGGTAAGGAAATAAAATACAATGAAGTTTTAATTTTAGGAAACATGATAGTAAAACCAAGTGTTTTTTGGTATAAATGTATCTGTCATATTTACACATGTCGTCATTAACAACAGGGAAACTAAGACATTTAGTTTAGAAGAACATTTAAGAGACTAGGCTGACTTCTAAACAAGAGAGGAAAAACAAGCTGTAGAACAAGCGACAGATGTATTGAGTCTAAACATTAAGGCAGGGTAACTTTTAATATCAAACAAAATAGGTGGGAATGAGACAGACATTCTGTACTGGAGGAGGGAGAACGGGTCAAGGGCACAGTGAGCATGAGCATCCATACACCCAGCAGTACAGCCTCAGAATACATGGAGCATGACATGACAATGACAGACAAAAGATTGTGATTACGTTGATTGTAGTAGATTTTAACTCTCAATGATAGGTCAAAAATAAGTCTAGAAGATTTGCTTAATATGATTACTAAACTTAAATGAATACAGAATGCACGTTGGGCATTCAAAAAACATTAACTCTGTACTCAGTCAAAAGAAAATCTCAATTTCCAAAGAATCAAAATCTTAGCTTATGTTTCTCTAAGCAAAATGCAGTGAAATCAGAAATCAGTCACTAGAATAGTTAAAATACAATTCTAACTAAAAGCTAACAGTGTGTGTGATTATTGTTCTGGGTTCTAATAGGACAAGCAAGAACCCCTTTTCTCACTATAACGAGGAGATAGAATTCTGCAGACTATGTGTAAGTCGGGGAAGCAAGCATCGGCTCAGAAACCCACACCGCCAGGGAGGGGCGAGGGCGGAGCAGGAGAGGAGCGGCGCCAGGATCCCAGCGGGTCGGAACACAGTATCCAGCGGGGCGTGCAGGAGGAGGTCCGCCCGGACGGGGAAATGCTAGGAACAGGTGTGAAGCCTGGTGCACCCGAACAGTGGCTCCTGGGGAAGTGAAGGCAAGGGTCTGGGGAACCTCACCGGACCAGAGGTGGTAGCCTTGGGAAGACACCACTTTTGGAAGAGAAGGGGGAATTTTGGAAAGATGAGGTATCTCTTGGAGACGTAGTAATTAAGTGAAAGAAGAAACCAGCTGAAACTGAAAGCCCCAGAGAAACGAGATATGTAGATTGATTAACTGGCATCACTATTAGTACAAGTAAGTCATTTATTAAAGAAACTGCACTTCCCTGTAGCAACAGAAGAGGGAACTCTTGAGCTACAGAGCGCTGTGCACCACCCAGGCCCTTCCTCACCCATGTGAGTGATCATCTGCCCTGTCAGGAAGGGTCCATGGGGTGATGGTTAGCACTCTGGACTCTGATCGTCTGCCCTGTCTAGTCCAATAACCAAAGCAAGTTTTAATTTAAAAAAAGGAATTCTGCATCCATGTTCCGTAAGAAATAAAAATGAGAATCAAA